CTGCATTATCTAAATTTGAAAATTTGGCCAACCTATTTATCCTGTCTGATCGGTAGTTTTCTTCAAACTTTTTATGAAGGTCAAATGATATGTATGCGAAGCATATGAAAAGTACTCTCTGAACAATAAACTGTTCTCCATGTGTAAAGCATTTGAGTAATCCATCAATCATAAAGATTCAGATGCCTGAGTTTTTCCCAGCTTCATGTGAGATACTTCTTTACCCATTTGCTTCTCTCATTATTTTTTTTTGTTTTTATTTCTATTTCCCTGGTAATGCTTCTCAGAGTACTAGCAAAGTGGATTGCCGTTATTGTAATGGTTATTCTTTCAGCTACTAGTATTTGATATCCGTTATTAGACAACTGTCAGGATAAAAAAGGCTTTTAAATATTATATTCTGAGGTGTAAGAACTATGTATATGCCCAGAACACATAAGGAAAAAATCTGGAGGTTATCCATTTCAATTTCCAAGTTTGAATAATAGTTATAAAGACAGCTTTAAAATAGTTTCTAACCATATTTGCACTCACAAGAGAAGCTGTAGATGTTGGAGGATTCATCAGTGAATTTTTTAAATGGAAGAAGGGAAAGAATATGTACTGGTCCTATCTCTCCCGCTCCATGGTCTGGTGCTCTAAATGCCAGGATCCCCTGTGGTCGAGCTGCCTGGGAAGCTAAATCATGATCAGAAAGGCTGTGTTGATTTTCTCTGAGGAAGCAGGGCCAAAAGAACCAAAGTGACTCCATGACTCAGTGCTTTGCACATTGTAGGTAGGCCTGTGTGACAAAAAAGCTTGGTGAGTATGGGTCTCAACCAAAGAGAGTTAGATGAGGCTAATGTTAAATGGCATAAGGCTGAGATAATCTAACACATCCATTTCAAGATAGAGGTGATCTCGTGAACGTGACTAAAATGCTCATGGTCCGTTGTCTATAGCACCCTGCATTCATCTCCTCACTTGGAAGCGCCTCGCAAAGGGAACTGGCAAGACCACAGCAACACGAGCGGCCTCGCTGCTGTGTGCTTCAGACACAGTCGGTGCTTATCTTTCTATTCTCTTTCACTGTTTCCTTGGCTATCTAACCTCTCCTCTGATTGAAACATTCTTCCTTTTTCCATATTCAAACACAAAGAGTATACCTCTCGTGTCTCATTAACCTGGCTGCTAGTGACTTGGCATGTCTACGCTGTGTTCAGCTAGGAGATTAACTATTAAAGAGTCATTATACGACCTTTGGTTCCTAGTTAACCTCAAGAAACACCTAAGCACTATTAACAGCTACCCCCCCACTAACATTCAATGATTCTAAAGCCAGATGTTTCTCCAGGCAGTGAGAAGGGCATAGAGTTTCTGGCACCCTAGACATTAAACTTTAATGCAGAGAGACTCAAGCCTGGGGAATCCTGCATGCATTACATAAACCATTCACCTGAGGATTCTACTTTTAAATACCAGGGAAAAAAAAGTTTTTTGAGTTGCATAGTTGCATCGCACCCACCCTTCTTGGAGGCAGATGGTGAGAAGTGAGGCAATTTGCCTTGGGAGTCTCTACAATCCATTTAGAAACAGCAGCACGAAAATCCTATGATCATCTCTCCCCTGCCAGCCTGAAATGTCAGCCCTCTGGGAAGCTGATAGGTGTTCCTGCTATCAGCGGAGGAAGCACCTCAACATTCGTACCTTCCAGAGCATTTTATTCACTATATATCCTATGTAAACTGTTGGATTTGACAAGGAGGAGTTGTCGAAGGCAGACTGCTGGGAAGGGGCTACGTTGGGTTGAATTTGGCACCAATCTCTCATGCTTGACAGCTCAAGTACAAGATTGTGGATGAGCTATAGGACCTATGAGCCTCCTCAGTCAGCGAGCGCAGGCCCTAAGTCACATTTAATTCAGAAAGCCCTGACAGCCCTGCATAAAGTGGGAGCAGTAAAATAGAGAGAGAGGAGCTGTGTGCAAGAGTGGGCCATTTAAGTTATTTCCTTTTACTGGAGTTTTGGAAAATATGAGCTAAGACAATATAGACTATGATACACTACAAGAAGATCTGCATTAGCAATTTAAAAAATACAACCCAAACTTTAAGCCAGGGTGACATGATTTTTAATAGCTAAAAGTTAAGAGGGGAGTCAATGGAGATTTAGATGTAGCTGCCTAAAATTTTTCATCTATTAGCCTAAATGATCTGTAACTATATCTCTATATAAACAAAACCACCTAAGATAAAGAGAAAAATAAAGGACTGAAACTGTTTTGTACAGCAGAACGGTGGGTTTCGGAGTCTTGGCTCTGACCCTTTCTGGCTGCGTGAGAAACTGACCAAGGTACTTAATGCCCTTAAGCCTCATCTTTTATTCTAAAATGACAACATTAATACTTTAGCTACTGTATTAATAATCTTTTGCCATCATAATTCTGTGTCACAATCACTCGCGACTCAGTGGCTTTGCTAGTGACTCTGCAAGGCTGAGCTGGCGCTGGCCGGGCTTGCCCGCGGGTGTGCCGGGAGCTGCAGGCCGGCCGGCCAGCCCTGGGTTTGTCTGGTTGGCTCACACGCCTAGGAACTGGCTGGAGCTCGGCTGATTGCAAGTGACCTCAACCAGCATTACTGGGGCCATCAACTCTATGTATCTCACTCTCTAGTCCAGGGGTCAGAAAACTGTGGCTCATCCACCTAGTCCAGCCCACGGACTGCTTTTATAAATAATGTTTCATTGGGACACAATTGTGCTCATTCATTTTCATATCTTTTATGGTTCCCTTTGTGTCACGATGGCAGAGTTGAGTAGTTGACTAGTTGAGACCACATGGCCCACAAAACCAAAAAGATGTACTCTTTGGTCTTTTACAGAGAAAGTTTGCTGACTCTGGCGGCTCCAGTAGGCTAGCTTCTGTGTGCTTTGGCCATGACAGAGGTAAGAAAGGAAGTGGGAACGTGTAAGCACCTTCAGATGATTCTGCATTCATTGCAGCCACTAAGATGCTAGTGGCCAGAGGAAGTCCTATCTATGACTGCAGGATTAAAGTGCTAGGAAACAGACTCAACCCCATTAGTGAGAAGAACTGTGAAGTCGCATGGCACAAGGGCATGGATGCATGGAGAGATGAAGAATTTAGGCTATCGATGCAATCTACAGCACCTGCTCACTTTTACGGAGTTGTTATGAGGTTTAATTCAGACACATATAAAGCATCTACAGCATTATGCAGTTAAAACAGCATTCATTCTTGTGCGTGATAATTTTGTCAGATTAGTGGTAATATGTTATATCCTCAGTACGATAGCAATAGTTATAACTAAATAAAAAAATGCCACACTGGGTGTGTGAACTTGGCCTTCTCTCTCTCATTTGCAATGTGTTGCCTTAGGGAGACAGATGGGGCAAGGAACAAATATTTGGATAGCCTTATTGCCTCCGTAATCAAGTTGCTTCCCAAACTGTGCCCAGTCTGTTCTTTTGAAATTATCATCTGCACCAGGCTACCAACCAAGTGTTTCATAAAAATTAATCAATTTCTGACTATTGGCGTATTGAATGTAAAACAGACAATATTATTACT